GTTGTTTGAATTAAAGTGTAAAATTAATCAGAAAGAGATAATAATCATTTTTAAGTTGTATATCTATGAATTACTGATAAGTTACAATAATAATATGTATTACACTTGTAAAAATAATTATTTGCGTAATTTAGTATAAGGTGCTTAAATTTAATCATTCAGCACTACAGCTATAATCTAATATTAAATCTATTATGACTTATTTGATTTTATATATAATAAGCTTTATATCAACTTCAGTATGTATTATTATAAATTTACCTATGTAATTTATATTTATTGCTTATTTATGTGATTTTGRTAGTTAATCATACATTATACAATATCCAATATCCTTTTATGTACAAAATACAAGAGTATTACAGGTCCAGCCGTCCAGGCCATTATATAAGTTTTATATTTATTGAGCATCAATATTAGCAAATTTTTAGTTTTTTTTTCCTTTTCATATTAGTCCATTATATTTTATATAATATTAAATTATGTAAGTATGAAGTATAAACATTAAACATGAATAGAATTTTTAGTCAGTATGAGGTATGCCTGTCAGGCTGTCAGTGATGTAAATGGGAAAAATATTTAGGGGATGCTACYAGAAAATTATTTGTTTTTAAGTATAGGTACATCATACACCTATGGAATTCGACCTATAGTCAATTAATTCATTGTCTTAAAAGTGTAAATTATATTCAATTAATACCTGTATTACTATAATAGTATAATACAGTGGTTTTCAACCTTTTTAACAATGTAGCACACTTTTTCTACTACAAAATTTTCGCGGCACACCAATAATTCATAAAATACGTGAAGCATATATTTATATTATACTTATACCAGCCGTCCAGGCCATTATATAAGTTTTATATTTATTGAGCATCAATATTAGCAAATTTTTAGTTTTTTTTCCTTTTCATATTAGTCCATTATATTTTATATAATATTAAATATATAAACATATGGCTATAAATTATAATTCTAGTGAATTTTAAARCAATCGCTTGGCTCTTTTTTAATATAAAAATAACCATCAATTAGCTTCGTAAAAAGATATATATTAATAAATAATTAATTCAAAAATACAAAATAAATACTATTGGTAGGTATATTGTTTGAAAATAAATAAATACATTTATGCACGAAGCCTTCATAATAATAAGCCAATCAGTTTCGTAAACTATATAATGATTCATTCCTACAATTTTCTACAGTTATTTGATGAAAGGGGAAAATGTCCGGCTTTTGATTCTTTGATCAGCAAGTTACGTGATCAATTAAACAACTATTATGACGATACTTCAAATATAACAGCATTAATGTCGTATTTATCTGAAAAATGCGGTCAACCCATCTCTTATACGAATATATTCAAACTATACGACCTTTTGATATGTGAGGTATATATATATA